TTTTAGTTAGTATATATATATATATATAGAGAGAGAGAGAGAGAGAGAGAGAGAGAGAAATTTTTTTTTTAAAAAAAATAACCAGCCGGGCCACCTAAGCCAGCCAAAACCTGCTCGGCTAGTGGCCAGTTTTGGTTTACTCAGCCGGTTCCAAGTTGGACCGGCCGATTTATCAAACACTGTTCAAAACATAACAACTAAATATAGGTAATATTTGGTGATGAAATTTCAAGAATAAGGAAAATAAATAATCTAATTATCCTAATCTATCAACCCAGCTTTTTCTTTGAGAATACAAGCACATTTGGTCATTTTCACCAGGACATTAGCTTTACTGAATATGTCGAATGATAAACTCATAAATAAATCGGCCTTCGAAATTCTCATCATAAGGAAAATTATGAGAAAAGTGGGCTTCAGTTATGGATTTCCAATCCAACAAAATGGTAATTTGTCATGAAAACACCATCTTATCGTAAGCTATTTATCTCAAAAAAAAAAGGGAAAAAGAAAAACAAAACATCTGATCAACTGCTTCTTCATTCTAGAACCATAAAGATTAGTGTTTTAAAGGAAGGACTCAGGTCAGGTCTCAACCAAATCAAAGTCAAGTAACACCTTGACTTGACCGATTGTTGTAATTAACAACAAGACTTTGGGAACCAGCATTCCTAAGGGCTTTTGTTCCGGATTCCATGGCTTGCTGAGTTAGACTAACATTTGCGAATCCAAAAGACAGAATTGGCCGAATGAATAGGAATACAAAAACAGGTAGTCACAGAATGATGGGTTTGAGAAAAACTTACCTTACGGAGAGATGAAATGTTTCTCTCCGCGTCTCGTAGCTGAGAATGAATCTCTTTTTCGACTTGCAAAAGAAGCTTCTTGTGAGAAGCTTCCAATAAGGAGATGTCATCAAGAGAAAGAAGAGGACACATCAGTACAGTACAATGCATAAATTTGCAAAAGGCCAAACACTTTCACGTGATTGCACGCACACGCACACTACGAAGAAAGCAGAGATGAAAAATTCACGCCATAAGTTTCGGATAGGAGTCAGAAAGATGAA